CCACCTCACCTTTTTTTCTCTTAAATTACGAGTATCTCTGCTCGTACCTTAACATGATGCGAAAAACACAGACGGCTGCTTACAAGTACTGCGGCTACGACAAAGATGACGCAGAACATTCGTTTTTTGACTGCATCAATTGGCAAGCCGAACGAAACGTGCTGCTGGAAAGATTCGGAACTTTTAATCCTGACAACGTTATAGATAAAATGCTACTCAACAGAGAAAGGTGGACTGCAGTAGCCCAATTCATACACACAGTTCTCTAGGCCAAAAAAGAGAATGGATTTCCGGATGACTGAGTGGAGGTGGTACTATCGTAGATCCGGTTCCATCGGGGGGATCGTAGGGTTGTGTTTTTTGCTGTGGTGCCTGGTGGGTTCAGGGGGGGGTTGGGACCTTAGGGGTGGGACTGCAGGGGCGTAGCTGCGGGGCCATGGGTGTGCGGGATGGGAGCCTGCGTGGGTGCTTAAGCGCGTGCAGACTTTCTTAAACCGCTTTGCTCTATCACCTTTCTACCGATGAGTGGCTGTGGCCTGGTGGCCCATGCTTTCGGGTGCTTCACTATCGCTTTTATCGCTTTTTTTCTTTGTGGCTAGGCTTCTGGGGTGTGGTCGCAGGGTGGGCTGTGTGCGGTATGAGGGCTTGCGTGGAAGCTTTAGCGCGTGCAGACTCTGAAACCGCTCTGCTATATCACCATCCTACCGATGAGTGGCTGTACATCGGTGGCTTGGGTCTCTGCTTCGTGGGTTCTGCGGTGGGATCGCTTCTTGTGCCTTTGTTAGAGGAAGCCGGGTTTGGGCCTATGCTAGGGAGCATCTGCCTATTATTTTGCTTTATTTCTGAAAGTAAACTTGAAAGGTCTTGCCAGTTACGTGGGTATGGCCATAACGAGTCCCACACAGAGGAGGATTCATACACTCTTCTATTGTGCATAATGGCATTATGGACGACCTTAGAAAAAAAATGATTATAAAGATAATGAACATAATTATAAAGATGCTGATAACGATAGTAATGATAGCAATTATGATAATTATTGTTCACTTATCAGGGCATATAATTCTCATGCGGGGTCGACGAGAGAGAGAGATAGAAACCACACAAATATGTCGTGTGCCGTTCCGTTGCAAGCGGCGCTGGGATTTGACTGGCAACTTGAGCAGAAGCCGTCTAGCCTTGGACTAGAGCAGTCGAGTCTCTAAGCCTCTTAGCCTATAGATCTGCCTCTTCTCTTAGCCTTGTCGCCATTTTGCTCGTTTGTTGCTGCTCATCACTGCAGTGCTGCACTCCTATTGTCGTTGATTGTGACTGCCATTGGGGCTTAGTTTGTGTCAGGATCTCTCTCTCTCTTGTTTCACTTCGCACGAGGTAGGCTAATATATTTATCTGTAATATTAGCCGCCAGTACATCAATTGCTGAAACGGCTTTTAGTAGTCAATTTTGAAAGAGTGCCAGAGTTACAGCTCGAATCCAGATACAAATCATCAATAATTTTATACTGTTCATAAATCATAACTTTGTTACGCAACTTTCCTCGCAAGTTAAATTATTTACAGTTTTATACATAATATTATAAACATATAAATATTTATTCTTGATTATATTGAATAAATCAGTATTTAAGTTGACAAAGAAAAATAAATCGAGTTTGTCGCAATCAATTCTAAAACCTCAACCTTGAGATTAGTAGCCAGCATGAATCTCACGACACACACTAACTCCTGCAGTACGAGATCTCCTTTTGATGCAGCAATTACATACTGTTAACAGCATCCGTTGCGTATATCATCTTCTGACAAAACATTTGGTTGCAGAACGTACGGAGCTTTCTTGCTCAGAAAAATTCTCGGGGCATTTGGTTGGCCATTTTTTTTTTCGCAAGAAATTTGCGGCTATTGACTTCACAGCTTTTTCACGCTTAGCTTACAGCAGTCGCCACCAAGGGAGCGTCGCTGGTGCTGTTTCGCTTTAGTCGTCGCCCACCGTCTCTCTCGCTACTTGAGATGGCCAACTTTCATTGACAGCGCTCGAGTCCAGCAAGTGGGGGGAGGAGTGAGGAAGTTACCACAGCGTAAAGCAGGTTGTACCGTATGCCATTCCTTCTTTCTCTCTCTACCTCGTTAAACTTACATATGCCTATTTTATGCTCAGAGTCTTCATAGCTCTTACCCACACCTGTAAGTGTTAAATTGTTCAGCTATAGGCCGTTTCAGCGTTTCTTACGCGCACCCTTCATGAATACAAATTCTCGTTGCAGTACGAGCCTTTTCACTCTTACGCTTGCTTGCTCATAACTGTTTATACAATTAAGACAGCCTCAATATTTCGAAAAAAAAGTTTCGTTAAAAAAAAAAAAAAAAAAAATTGTAATATCTCTTGTTTCTGGTCAGAATGGAGAAACTTTAGAAACTCTTAAGCACTCAAAAGGCACTCGCCTTAGTTATTCAAAAGTTTAAATCAACGATGCTCAAAACTCCCTCAGATAAGAGGTCAAGTAGTTGGCTTAAGACTCAACACGAATTACTACAAGGATATTGAAAGTGTTTTTTTGATACGCATTTGCAGCTCGTTGCAAACCAGGAGTCAATCGGGGACGATGAGTATTTCAAAGAAAAGATGTTCGACAATACATCCAATTATTTCTCTCAAACTAAAACCCTTATTTTGAACTCTCTCAATCCTGGTCGAAGTGAAACATCCATCGCAGCTGATACTGACTTTCTTGATGTCCACTCTGACTTTCTTCGTTTTCGAAACCCGTTGCCGCCAATAGATCTTCCTCAATTTTCAGGGAAGCAGCTTGAATAAGAGACGTATAAAGGAATGTTTTTAGCTCTCGTACATGATGTTCCCACTATTCCACCGATTTTGAAGTTACAATATTTAATTCGTTCATTAATTAGTGAAGCAGCTGATCGGTTGAAAAATCTGCAGGTTAGTGCTGATAACTATATGGGTACGTGGCAATCGATACAGGAAAGATATGATAACAAAAAAGTCTTGCTTTCGACTCACATGACGAATATTATAGTTTGCAACGCAATGAAAAAAAAATCAGTGAGTGAACTTTCCCGATTACTGGATGTTATTTATGAATCTCGACAGGCTCTTGACAATTTAAAGATTCCTGCGGAGCAGTTGGGTGATCTTTGGCTCGTACATCACGCTGTTCACAAGCTTGAAACATCAACTCGACTTGACTGGGAGAAAGAGGCAGACAAGTTAAATACTTATCCCTCTTATCTAGATCTGATAAGAATCATGGAAAAATCCATTCGGGTATTAGAAGCCGCACGGTCTACCTCAGACAAGACTGATAATCGATCGCTCTCTTAAAACCTTCGTACAAATAATTCCAGTAAACAAGTAACCGCTCATACCACACAAGAAAAGAAGTCACCTAGTTCGAATAAAAGGACTTGCATACTGTGCGAGGGCAGTCACTCTCTGCATAGTTGTAATAAGTTTCATCACTTGTCACCTTATCAAAGATTGCAAGTTTGTAAATCGAAAAGACTTTGCTTGAATTGCCTCCAGTAATCCCACTTCATCGCCAAATTCACCTCAACTCTTCGATTTCGTACGTGCAAAAATTTGCATAATTCCCTACTTCACTTTGATATACCACCTAGTGTTAAGGACAAAGCCCCCAAGTCTAGTTTTCAGTCTTCAGAACGACAAGACTCGTTGACGGGTGTCTCCCTATTCGTTGGTACTACGCAATCGTCAATGATGCACAAGCAACCGGATAAGAAACTTGCCCTTTTATGCACCACTAGAATTTTGCTGTCCAACTCTAATGGTAAGACGATATCAGTTAGTGCTTTAATTGATCCAGGAGCTGAAGTTTCGTTCGTCTCCACTCGGGCTGTTCAACAGCTCAACGCTATTACCAAGCGCTCACTTAAGAAGGTGATAGGCTTGGGTGCAAAGGAGTCAGCAAAATCACATGGCACGGCTCGTCTAGTGCTCTTATCACCTAGAGACAAAGATTTTCGAACCGAGTTTTCAGCTCTAATCCTCGATGAGCTTACTCGACCTCTGCCTAGTAGACAAATTCAGGTGCAGGACTGGCCTCACCTTCGTAACCTCGAACTCGCTGATCCTTTCTACTTTCAGCCAGATACGGTTGACTGCGTGCTGGGTATAGACATTTTCCCACTTATCATTAAACATGGCATACGTAAAGGATCTACCGGTACCCCTATAGGACAGTTGTCAGTCTTCGGATGGCTGATTTCAGGCAAACTTTTGCCTCAGCCTGATACTATTGATACCCAAGTCCAAACTTTTCATGCAAATGCTGAAAAGTCATTGTCGGATACAATCCAACTCTTTTCGAAGTCCGAGGAGGTCCCCTCGCAGGACTTACACACTCCAAAAGAAAAATTTTGCGAAGAACTCTTCGAAACTACTTATACTCGAGACTCTACAGGTCGCTTTGAAGTTCGTTTACCACTATCGTCTACACCCAAATTCTCAAACTCTTGCGAAATAGCAAAAGCGTGCCTACTGCGCTCAGAGCGTCGCTTCGAATTGGATGCTGCTCATCGTCAAGCATACTCTGAATTTATGCTTGAGTATGTAAAACTTAAACACATGGAACCAGTGCCAAAAAGACGCTACTAGACAGTCCTTGAATGACTACTTGTTACCTGGTCCCAAGCTGCAGTCTGATATAACATTGATAATAACTAATTGGAGATTTTTTAAGTTTGTTTTCACATCAGATGGAGTTAAAATATTTTATCAAATATCGGTGTATCCTGAAAATCGAGACTAGCAGAGGATCCTCTGGCGCTCAAGCGACACGCAGCCAGTTCAAGAGTACAGAGCCATTACTGTCACCTACGGAACGGCATCAGTGCCATACCTTCGAGTGATGCGGCAGCTATCAATCGATGGACAGCGTAATTACCCTCTCGCTGCAGCCATCCTACAACACGGACTCTATATCGACGATTGCTTGGCTGGGTATGACACAGTCAAGGGAGCAATGAAACGCAAGGATCAGCTCATTCAATTGTTAAGAACTGCTAGTATGGAACTTGATAAGTGGGCCTCGAACGAGCCAAGGATCCTTGAAGGCACATCATCTCATCCTGGAAAAACCATCAAGCTAGACAACGTCGTGTCTACCCTTGGCGTCAAATGGAATCATAAGAGTAATTGTTTAACGTTCTCTTTAACACCTACAACCTCTTCTTCGATCGTCACAAACAGAGAAATCTTGTCAAAAATTGCTCGTTTGTTTGATCCTCTAGGTTGGCTAGCACCAATTATAATTGTAGCTAAGCTAATATTGCAGGAGCTCTGGTTGCATCAGCTGGACTGGGATACTTCCCTCAATGACGATTTGTCTCAGCACTGGCTCACCTTCAACCAACATTTGAGAGGAGTGGAAGATCTGTCAATACCTCGCTGGCCGGGCATCCTGCTGAATCAAATATGGCACTTACACGGCTTCTATGATGCCTCCAAGAGAGCTTACGCTGCTGCGATCTACTCAGATTCACTGGGAGGCCAGTCAACACTGCTGTTGGCCAAAACCAAAGTCGCCTCGATTAAGAGAATCACCATTCCTCGCTTAGAGCTTTGTGGCGCAATGCTTCTATTGAAGCTCGCAAAGCACCTCGTCCATTCCTTGAGTTCGAAACCCGAATCTGTCTTCCTTTGGACCGACTCACAAATAATCATCGAGTGGCTCAAGAAACACCCTTCGCACTGGCCAACTTTCGTCGCCAATAGCACGAGCATGATAATCGCAACCCTTCCTGACGCAACTTGGAGTCACGTCCGATCGGAGTCACGTCCAAATCGTGGACTTACTCCAGTGTTACTATCTACACATCGATTGTGGTGGCAGGGACCAACATGGATCACCAAGTCTCAAGCTAATTGGCCTGCGACCACCCCTTAACTCGACGACGTTCAAGTCTACCTTGCCAAGGATGCCTTGATAAAAGACAACATGGACTCTTCAAAGAGTGTATGTATACCACTATTCTCTGAAAAATCATCGTATTGTTCAATTCTTTGAATATGAGCTTATGTAGCTCGTTGGCAAGCCAATGCCGAACTACTAAACGGTCAGCAGCATGCTCGCACTCTCAGTTAAGATGAGACTGAAAAAGCATAAATCTTCTGCTTTAGAGTGGTCCAAAAGGCTCATTTTTTAAAGGAGTTTGCTTCTCTGTCAAAAGGCCATAATTTGCCTACGAAAAACAGCCTGCGTCGTCTTAAGCCTTTCGTCTGTAATCAAGGATTTCTGAGGGTTGGAGGATGACTTGAGCAGGCATTACTGAGCTCGCAGGGGGCACACCCTGTCATCCTGCCAAGGACCTGTGCACTCACGAAGAGACTTGTTGAGGACACGCACAAATTTACTTTACATGGACTCCCCCAGCTGATGTGCTCGGTCCTCAGATCATTTTGGATCACCAGAGGATATCGACTATTTTCTGGCATCTACCAGCGCTGTCCAACGTGCATCTACTACAGCAGTCACACAGCTCAACAGCAAAAGGGCCAGTTGCCTCCTTTTCGCATTACTCCATCTCAACCGCTCAACATTACTGGATTAGACAACATAGGACCTATACCTGTTCGATTCTCCAAAGGACGAGGAGCCAAGTCTGTCAAAGGCTATTTAGCAATTTTCGTTTGTGTGGTCACTCGCACCATCCACATTGAGGTTGTGTCTGACCTTACGACAGACTCCTTTTTAGCAGCATTTGCTCGATTTTGTTTACGCCGAGGAACATGCTCGCTGTTGCTCTCAGACAACGCTACAACATTTGTTGGGGCAACTAACGAGTTAACAAAACTCTTCAAACAATCATCGGAATTCTCAACAAAAATCCGCGACGAAATATCAAAGCAAGGAGTTCAATGGAAATTCATTCCACCTCATGCACCCCACTTTGGTGGACTTTAAGAGGCTGCAGTCAAAAGTGTTAAGCATCATATGAAACGTGTCATCGGACAAGCCACGCTCACCTTCGAAAAGCTCTCAACGCTCATGAAGAAAATTAAAGCATGCCTAAACTCCCGAGCTCTTTGCTCTCTTCGAGATGATCCACATGAGCATCTTGCATTGACTCCCACTCATTTTTTAGTTGGCTCGCTAACCTTGCTCTTTCCAGAACCATACCACGAAGATGCCAGCTCATCATCTCATGTAAGCCGTTGGAGACTACTCAACGTCATGCAACAGTTTTTCTGGGCACGCTGGAGGAAAGAAGTGCTTCAGCAAATGCAGTTTTCCAACGAGTAACTTCAGCCTCAAACCAACATATGAGTTGGTGACGTCGTGTTGGTCAAAGACGAGCTCACTCCACCAGGACGATGGCCCCTGGGTAGAATTATCGACGTTCATCAAAGTACAGGCGGCTTAGTCAGAGTCATTTGCGTCAAGACCACCAAATCGACAGTTAAACGCCCGATCGTCAAAATCATCAAGCTTTATAAGGATAAAGAGCTGCTTCAATTCTACATTGATCAAGTTGATTTGTTAAATGAAAAAAAAATCAAACTAAAAAAATTTTTTTTTTTTTCGCGTTAGCTCTCGTGCACTGCTCATCACTGCAGTGCTGCACTTCTGTTGTCGTTGATTGTGACTGCCATTGGGGCTTAGTTTGTGTCAGGATCTCTCTCTCTTGTTCCTTTTTGCGCGAGGTAGGCCATTATATTTATCTGTAATATTAGCCGCCAGTACATTAATTGCTGAAACGGCTTTTAGTAGTCAATTTTGAAACAGTGCCAGAGTTACAGCTCGAATTAAGATACAAATCTTTAATAATTTTATTCTGTTCATGAATCATAACTTTGTTACGCAACTTTCCTCGCAAGTTAAATTATTTACAGTTTTATACATAATATTATAAACATATAAATATTTATTCTTGATTATATTGAATAAATCAGTATTTAAGTTGACAAAGAAAAATAAATCGAGTTTGTCGCAATCAATTCTAAAACCTCAACCTTGAGATTAGTAGCCAGCATGAATCTCACGACACACACTAACTCCTGCAGTACGAGATCTCCTTTTGATGCAGCAATTACATACTGTTAACAGCANAAGGTTTTGTAAACCGGTCTTAATATCGGAAAGTAAAAATTAAAGTAAGCTAATTTTTGTTTTTTTATTTATCTATCTAAATGAATACGTACACGAAATACTTCTAGCGTAATTTTAGCAATAACTAATCATAACTTTGTTACGCAACTTTCCTCGCAAGTTAAATTATTTACAGTTTTATACATAATATTATATATGTATATTTATTCTTGATAACATTGAATAAATCAGTATTTAAGTTGACAAAGAAAAATAAATCAAGTTTGTCGCAATCAATTCTATAACCTCAACCTTGAGATTAGTAGCCAGCATGAATCTCACGACGCACACTAACTCCTGCTGTATGAGATCTCCTTTTAATGCAGCAATTACATACTGTTAACAGCTTCCACTGCGTATGTCATCTTTCGACAAAACAATGATGATGATAATCATGATAACGATTTTCATGATGATAATGATAAAATAATAATGATGACAATGATTATCACAATGGTATTAAATGTGACGATAATAATAATAATAATTATGATATAAGTAATGTCGGTACTGGTATTAATAATGATAATATTAATATTGTTGACAGTATTAAGGAAGATAATAATCGTAATGATGATAATGATCATACTAACAAAATTATAGATGATGATTATGATGATTATGATGGAGATAATGATGATTATGATAGTGAAAATGAGGACGATGATGATAACAATGATAATGATGATAATATAAATCATGATAATAATGATGATAATAATGATAATGATAACAATAATTATGATTAAAAAAATAATGATCATACTGGTTATAACAATGACGACAAAGATGATATTGACGACGACGACAAAAACTACAGCGATGATGTCAACAACAATAAAAATGAATATAATTTAAACGATCATAATGACACTAATAGTAATGATGACGACGACAATGACAATTAGAATAATTATAATGATAATAATGATAATAATGATGATGATGATAATAATCATCGTTATAATAATAATGATCACAATTATAATAATGATGATGATAATGATCATGATGATAATAACAATGACGACAATGACGACAACGTGAACAATGACAACAACGAAGACGTTAGCAACAATGATAACGTTTATAAAAATGATTACAATAATAATAGAAATAATAACAATAATATTATTGACGATGGCGGAAACAACGACGACGAAAATAATGACAACATTGTTAATAATAACAATGATACTGATAAAAAAGACGATGACAACTACAATAATGGTATAAAGAAAAATAACAATAATGATAGAAATAATTTTAATTGTGATAATAATAATAACAATGATGATGATAAAAATAATGAAAGTAAGATCGATAATGATACTGGGAATAATGATGAAGGTGCTGATAATAAAGTGATAAAATAAATAATAGTGATGATATCGATGATGATAATAATAATAACTATGACAATATTAATGACAACGATGACGATAATAACAATGACGACGACGACAACTATGACGGTGACAATGATAACGACGAGAATAGCGATTATAATCATGATGATCATAAGGATATTAAAGACGACAACAACGATGACAACGACGACAACAATGATCATTATGATTGTATTAATGATAATAATGATAATACTGATAAAGATTATAATCATTATAATGATAACAATAGTAATAACAATGAGGATGATAATTATAATAATAATTCTAATAATCAAAATGATGATAATGATAATAATAAACATGACAATAGTTATAAAGACAATCAAAATAATGATGATGATAATAATGATTATGACAATGATAATGATAATAATGATTATGACAATGATAATGATTTTGACAATTATGATGATAATAAAAATAAAGATTAGGATGAAAAAGCTTATGATAATGATAATAATAATGATAATGATAATATAGATAATCATGATAACGACAACGACGATGACAAAATTAATGGCAGCAACAAAAACAACAGTGATTTTGATGACGACAATAATTACCATAAAAATGATGAAAGAGATGACGATAATAGTGATGACAACGACGACAATGACCACAATGACAATAATTATGACGTTGTTAATAATGACGATAATAATGATGATAAGGATGGTGATAACGACGATAATAATAATAATAATGATAATTATTCATAATGATTATGATAATGATTATGATAATAATAATGATAATAAAAATAATGATGATGATGATAATATGATAATAATAATAATAAGATGATTATGATGAAGATGATCATAATAACGATGATGAAAATAATAATAATGATGATGATAATGATTATGACCACAGTAAAAAATATAATAATAATAATAATGATATTGAGAATAATAGTTTTTATAATTATGATAATGTTACTAATGCTGATAATGATGTTAATGACTTTTATAATAATAATAATGAATTAAATAATAATGATGTCAATTCTAACGATAATGTTTATAGTAAAGAAGTCGGTTAAAATGATAAACATCAAAATGTATGTAACGTTAATAATAATGATGTCATTGATGATGATAATGATGATAAAATGGATAGTAATAATGTAGATAATAAAATTAATAACAATGATAATAATTACGGTACTTAAAATGATAATAACGATAATAATGTCGATGATAATTATAGTAATAATGTCAATGATCTTAATCTTATTGATTTTAAACATGGTCATGAATATAATGATAATAGTGATAATAATAATTATAATAATGATGTTAATAATGAAGGTGTTGACGACGTTGACGTTGGCTACGACAACGACGATGACGATGACGAAGACGATAGTGACAATGTTGATGACGATAAATACATAATGATTATGATAATAATCATAACGATTATAGTAACAGCAACGACGACGATGATGACAATGACAACGACAAGTCCGACGACGGACACAATGACGACGACGACGATGATGATGATATTGTTGATACTGATGATAATGATAACGATGATGGTGCTAATGATGATGTTATTGATGATGATGACAATAATTATAGTGATAAGCATGATTATGATAATGACTATGATGATAAATATGATAGTAATAATGATGATAATAATGATCATAATATTAACGACGATGACAATGACAACAACGACTTCGACGCTAAAGAAGACAGTGACGATTATGACGACTATAATAATAACAATAATAATAATGACAATCAGAACGTTGATGGTAACGACGAAGACAATAACGATGACAACAACGACGACAATAAAGACAAAAGTGGTACCAAAGACAAAGATAGTTATAATAATGAGAATAATGAAAATAATGACGATAATGGTGATCACGACGACAACGACGACGACAACAATGACGACAAGGACGACAGCAACGATGACAATTATGACAATGTTGTTGATAATGAGGATGATAATAATAATATGGGCGATGACAACAACAATAATAATTATGGTAATAGTGTTGATTATAATGGTAATAATAATATAAAAGACATTGATGATATAATAATGTTGACGATAAGAATGCTAATGAGAATATAATGATGACGATGATCATAACAATAACTATAAAAATGATAATCATAATTATTATAATATAAATAATAGTCGCCAGTACATTAATTGCTGAAACGGCTTTTAGTAGTCAATTTTGAAACAGTGCCAGAGTTACAGCTCGAATTAAGATACAAATCTTTAATAATTTTATTCTGTTCATGAATCATAACTTTGTTACGCAACTTTCCTCGCAAGTTAAATTATTTACAGTTTTATAAATAATATTATAAACATATNTATAATAATAATAATACTAATGTCAATAGAAATTGTTATAATGATGAT